CCCCCCCCATAGCTAGCAATCCAAAACAGTCCAGTGCAGCCTGAGCAGTGGGTGTTGCCTTCTGACACACTTCTGTTGATGTCAGGGGATGTGGCATATGCAAATAAGTTATGCTAATGAGCTATGCTGATGAGCTCCTGCACCTCTTTTTCTACGAAATGACCCCTGATCCCTTTTCAAAACAGGGCTTGCAAATTGGTCTGGAACCAAGGATTGCTACTCCAGCTCTCATTTAAAGGGGGGGGGGAGCAATGTGGTTCCAGACCTTCATGAACTTCCAGAGGTTTTGCAAAAGCTGTGACCTGTTCCTTTTCTTTGCAGAGATAGTTCAAACCACTGAAGCTGGTTGCTGCAAACCCTGGGGATCTGCAGGCAGTGCCCCTTGCCATAGGTACGGCCACAGGATAACATTTCAAAGCTTTCTGGTTAGGGTTAGGATGCAGAGTACCAAAGAAACAGGAGCAATACAACACTGCCTTCTCCTGACCTGATCCTCCATTGGTCCCTTCACCCCATATCTTTTCTCTGCCTGCTGTGGGGCACAGTTAAAGCCCTGCTTGCTACAGAAGGCAGGTGAGACGGTAGGACTGGGGGAGGGACAGGCAGGCGAAGCCATAGCTGGACCACATTCTCCACTTTGTCACTTGTAGACATGTAAGTAGCATCCCAAATTTGCATCCATGCAGCTTCCCATATGCCTGATGAAAGATCCAAAGCCCACCTGCTCAGCAAGTTTCAGGCACTCCATCAAGGTACTTGAGATCTTATCCCTCAAGCTGTGATCCATTCGCTCCTCCTCTTCCCCCAGGCTGCTCCAGAAGGACTGATTCAGACTCTCCTTTTTCTTCCGTGACTTTGCAGCAGGCAGGGTCATCGATGGCCGCTTGTAAGATTTTCCTTGGGACTTTAGCCACTGTTCCAGCAGCTTCCTAGGAAACAAGAAGAAAACTCCGTTAGGCTACCAGTTTTGTGTCCTACATGCTCGAGAGCCAGCACAGTGGGGTGGAGCAGTTGGGCTAGGACCATGGAGACCCCAGTCCAAATCCCCTGGATGCTGGCTGGGTGAGCTTAGACCACTCACTTCCCCTCAGCGTTGTGAGGTTAAAATGAGGGTGTGTCTTTGTGTGTGAATGTACGCTGTTATGTGGCTCCAGGGTCATTGATGCCATTTACGAGGACTCCAATCAACATTTAAGTGGCAAGCAAAGTCAAGGCCAAGGCCGCCCACTTGAAGGGCATTTCCTGTCTCAGCACATTTCCTCAGCCCTCATTCATGCACAGTTGTTAGTGTGCACAGTTGCTGCAGTCATGCAAAAGCATCTTTAACACAAAGGGTAGTACTGTAGAGCTTGCTGTTTACAAACAGGAAGCTGAAAAGGAGAAGGCTCCTTATGGTGTCTGGCAGCACAAAATAAAGAACACAAGGGGGGGGGGAGGAATCTCTTTTGCATGTCACAATGCACAGCAGAGTCATTTATGTTTCTGCTTTGCCATCCAGAGTTCATGTGTGCCCCCCACACCCCAGAAGAGAGATGCTAAAGTCTTTTTTAGCAGGTGAGAAAATGTAACATAAAGGAAAAAGAGAAGAGATTGGATTTATACCTTGCGCTTCACTACCGAAGGAGTCTCAGAGCAGCTTACAATCTCCTCCCCACAACAGACACCCTGTGAGGTCGGTGGGGCTGAGAGAACTGCTCTTGAGAGAACAGCTCTGAAAGAACTTGTGACTGACCCAAGGTCACAGTCGCAGCCACATGTGGGGAATCAAACCTGGTTCTCCCAGAGTCTGTGCTCCTAACCACTACACCAAACTGGTGGTGGCACAAATAGTTATTCATTCATCTGTTTTGCTGTCCCATAGTCTGATGAACATGAATATTCCTCAGACAAAACTGAGGGCCACCCTCAGGACAAGGGTCTGATGGAGGAACATTGTGGGATCTACCTCCCGAAAAAGAGCAGGGTGCAGACATACACTCCCATCAACCATCTCTCCATCCCAGAAGCTGCTCTGGTCTAATAGCAGATGATCTCCAGAAAAACCTCAGGACAGGAGACTGGACTAGACAGGTGAACACAAACGCCCTTGGGGCCAAACTTGCCTGCGATCCCGTGTACATGGGGTTTTGAGCTCTTGACCCATTCCCATCACCAGCTGCCTTGACTTTCTTCTTGCACATCTCAGAGTGTCAGTAACTCCAGTTGCTGTGCAATCTGGGGAGACGACAGGCCTGGATTTCAAGCTGGGAGTCCTGGGTACTCGCTGGAGCGCCTTACTGCTCTGGTTCCTCCTTGCTGTGCTTCCATGCTTGTCGATGTCATCGCGTGCTGCCAAAGGGAGAGTCCGTTTTCCTCTTAATTCTCCAACCGAGGGTTTTGTCAAGGCATGAGAATTGCTCGGATGCCTTCTCACATGCTGAGCCTTGCAAGGAGTCGTCCGCTGCTGCTTCAGTTGTCCCCTCTGAAGAGCATCTGGAGCTCTGCACGTCCTTGACTGCGCTGCATTCTCCTTTTGTTGCCTGAGCACACTGGTACATTGCTTTGTTGCCCTTGGATTTAGACCCCGGCTTTTAACTTCTGGCCTTGAACGAATGGATGACTGGCCAACCTTTAATGGAATCTGTGCTCCTGACACCCCAGGGACTAGCTTCTGAAGATCCTTCCCTTTGAGAGTAGCTGAAGGTCCTTTGGGGTTACGCTGGACCTGTGGCTTAGTAGCCTGATAAGTTTGTGCTTGCCTTTTCACCGGCATACTGCCTCGTGAAGCAAAGGCCGCATTTGGCCTGCTGTTCAATGTATGGGACCCAGATGGAAGGCCAAGCCTCGCAACCGCCTTCTTCTCAAGGCTCGGATTGAGCTTGCTCCCCAAGTTCTCCTTATCCACCTTTTCTTGCGAGCTCTCCACAGGATGATTTGAGTGCGTGAAACCCTTTGCATTCTGATGGAGTGCTTGAGTCTTTGGTTTGGTGACTGGCTCCAACTTTTTAGTCTTTCCTACTTGGCATAAGCCATGCTTGGAGGAAGATATTGCGATGCTCTGTTTCCCAGTGAGGTTTTCGGCAGAGGCCTTTAAAGGAAGAGTGCGCAGCGGTCCCTTCCTTCCCCGCTCGGAAGGTACATTCTGGGGCTTCTGAGAGATGGGAGCGCCTGACAATCTGCTCTGCGGAACCTGGCTGGCAGGGACTGAACATTTTGTTTCCCTCTTCTGCTCACCTTTTGTCTTGTTCAGGGTAATGTTTTTTTTACACCTGGTCTGAAAAGAAAAAAGATGCATGTGCCAGGATTTTTTTTTTTTTAAACAAGACAGAAATGCTCGGAAGACACATCGAAGTAAGATGTTTCTTTTAACCTCCACCACTACCACCACCACCACCCTGCCTTAGACTAGGAGGAATCCCCAACTACAAGAATATTCTTATCTACTTACAGGGTCTGATTTGGAGGGAACCAGGTTCTGCTGATTAGTCTTGTCCTTTAAGTATGGCCTGTTAAACAGGTGGGAAAAGATGCTTTAACCAGTCAGTTTATGAAAATTTATTCTAAAAGCATCACACACATGACTCAGACTGCAAATGTATAAACCTTTATTTGGGCGTAGGCCCTCACTAAGCTCAGGCAGAATTTACTCTCGAGCATACATGCACAGAACCATTATTTCAGAGAACCCTTCATAAACATTTCCACGCTGAGCATGTTACAGTGTGGGGAGAGGCTGTGGCTCTGTAGGAGAGCATCCCAAGGTCCCAGGTTCAACCGCCAACATCTCCAGTTAAAAGGTCCAGGTGGTAGATGATGGGAAAGACCTCCCACCTGAGACCTTGGAGTGCTGCTGCCAGTTTGAGTGGACAAAACTAACCTTGCTGGGCCAAGGCAGCTTCATGTGTTCAGCTGGACCACTTCTTAGTCACCTGAGCACACGCAACTAGCCTGGTCAGAATTCAAGAAAGGCTGAAATTGGAATCTCAGTCTCAGTCCCCACCATAACTGCAAGCTGGGCATCCAGGAGCAGGAAAACACCCAAATTGCAAACTTGTATCTTCGCGGGGCATGCAGTTCCATCCACCACAGGTGTGTACTACTTTCAGATTTGCTAACACACCAACCAGCAGCATCTCGCTCTTGAATTAAGATAAAGTTTGTTCTTCTTCATCCCGTCCACCCCCTTCCCTTATTCCAGGTACTACTCTAGCAAATCTGCAACATCCATGGTGGTGGAAAGTACCATCAAGTCACAGTTGGTGACCTCATAAGGTTTTCAAGGCAAGAGATGTTTGGAGGTGGTTTGCCATTGCCTGCCTCTGCACCACAACACTGGTATTCCTTGGTGGTCTCCCATCCCAATACTCGCCAGGGCCGACCCTGCTTAGCTTCCGAGATCTGATGGGGCTGGGCTAGCCTGGGCTATTCAGGCCCCAACATCCATAGGATCCAACAAATAGGAGAGGCAAAGAGGGCCGTCTTCCACATACCAGTGACACCACACCCATTTCTCCCAGCATCCTCTTGCAGCAGTTTCAGATGGAGGATAAATAGCATAGAAGACAAGGATTCCACTGGCCAAGAGGAGCAGCAGCACAATCTCCTCCTGCCCCATCTTCTGATCTGGACCCTGGGCTCCAGGTAAGACCAGCACCACCACAACACAATGGTCCATCCCAGAAAGGCAGTCCCACAGAAATTCCAGGGAAGACATTATTGGAAGCTGCTGAGAGATCCTGAAGAACCAGTGGGGAGTGCTGTCTGCAATCTAGAGACAACCCTGAAGATGTTCTGCTTCCAAGGCAACCTACATTACCTCACAGACTAGAGTGCAGGAAAGAAAAAGCACCCCTCCCCACTAGGGAACTAGAAGGGTTATGTCAGCCTCGACTGGACAAGCCTACTTTGGGACGCTGTTTGTCTAAAGGCAGAAGACAACAGAAACAGAAGACATTTTTGAAAAGTCTCATAGCCAATATCTAATTTTGCTGCATTTTTAGCAAGCTCACAGCCACCAGCCAGGGGAGGGGGAGCAGAAAGAGAAGGACGGAGTTGCCAACTACCAATTCGTATGTTTAATTGACTCACTTGGCACTGGATTGCTTTAGCTTTCCTCGGGCTGCTAAATATTCTTGTAGTTTCCTCCATCGCTCCTCTGCAAGAGATTCAAAGAGCATTAAGATTACCAGCAAGGTGCCTTTGTCCCTGAAGGTGTCACACCAGCAGCTGACACGAAGCGGCAGTTATTGAACCCATCCTGTGGGAACCTGACCAGGGCATACAGAGTCATCAAGATCTCCAGCTTCCTCTAGTGGATTTGGTCACAAGGCCGGCACTCTCAAGCACCTGTTGCGAGACCCGCAAAACTGTCACCAGGGATGCAGGCTCTCAGTGTGTCCAAACCCAGTTCATCAGACCAGGGGCGGATTAAGGCTCACTGGTGCCCCCAATCTTGGTGCCCCCCTCCTTTCCACACTGACCCAGTCCATTTTAGTTGTTGATCTGTCTGACCAGATATACAATGCAGGTTGCAGTAATACAAACATGTATTCATATGATAACACAATATACTGTACAAACTAAGCTTTTCACCCTTTTCCCAACTTTGTGGTGCCCCCTTTGGCCCTGGTGCCCTAAGCATGTGCTTAGTCTGCTTAATGGGTAATCTGCCCCTGCATCAGACTCATGAAAGAGGTACCAGCAACACAACTACTGTCACTGCCTCAAATATGGACAATGCCCGGCAAATATGTTCTAATCCCCCTTGCAGAACTCTTGAAACAAGTTTATGTGCTGTATTCTATTTTTCTGGTTAAATGCTAATTTTTGAAAGGTGTGTTTGCCCCCAGCAAACACAGTGGCTATTTGAATGTGCTGCAGTTAGAGCTGGTACAGTGAAAAGCCTTCAGCTGCGTGGGCTCAGGCCCAACTGAAGCAGGACTGAAGATGTAAAATTTATAGAAATTTTGAAGCTGGAGGAGGGGAGATATTTTCCCCAGAAAAAAGTACACCCTAAAATTTGGGGGAAATTGAAATATATGCAGTGCTTACTTTCCTATCAAACCTTAAATATTTATTTACTTATTGAATTTATACCCCACCCTCCCCACTGACGCAGGCTCAGGGCAGCTTACATGAAATTGTTAAAACAATTTAAAACATGTAAATTCCAAAGTGCAAAACATACATACATTCCTACGCGATGGCAATCATAATCCAATGTTTTCATAACAGGAGTCAGTTAGTACAGACTTAGATGATGAACACAAGCCCAGGGAGGCTCCAAGTTATGTCAAGATGTTAAATGTGGTCAAACGCCGAGTGGAAAAGCTCCGTCTTGCAGGCCCTGCGGAACTGAAGTAAGTTCTGCAGGGCCCTGGTGTCCTCAGGGACCTCGTTCTACCAGTGCCATGGAGAAGGCCCTAGGCCTGGCGATGGCCAGTCTGGCCTCTTTAGGGTCAGGGAGCACTAGGAGGTTTTGTGTCCCTGAACACAGTACTCTTGGAGAAACATGAGGGGAAAGGCAGTCCCTCACGTATGCTGGCCCCTGACCATAAAGGGCTTTATTGGTGAGAACCAGCACCTTGAAGCGAATTCCATATGCTATAGGGCAGCGAGTGCAATGCTTTCAGCGCAGGCTGGATGTGTTCTCACGGAAGAAGAGGAGGAAGAGGAGGAGGAAGAGGAGGAGTAGGAGATTGGATTTATACCCCGCCCTTCACAACCCAAAGGTGTCTCAGAGCGGCTTACAAACTCCTTTCCCTTCCCCTCCTCACAACAGACACCCTGTGAGCAATGTTCCCTCTAAGCTGTGGAGTCTTGTGAGCAGAAATTCTACTTTGTGAGCTACCGGCATTAAAGCTGTGAGCGAGTGACTTGGCTACTGCATAAATTAGCTTGCTCTGGAGCCATCCCTTCCTGAGCTAAGGCAAAAATGTGTGAGCTGGAAGCTAAAAAACTATGAGCTAGCTCACACTAACTCAGCTTAGAGGGAACACTGCCTGTGAGGTGGGTGGGGCTGAGAGAGCTCTTGACAGAAACTGCTCTTTTCCAAGAACAGCCCTTATCAGAACTATGGCTTGTCCAAGGTCATCCAGTCAGGTGCAAGTGGAGGAGTGGGGAATCAAACCCGGTTCTCCCAGATTAGAGTCCGTGCACTTAACCACTACACAAACTGGGAGAGAGACCCAACAACAGCCTGGCCGCCGAATTCTGCACCAGCTGCAGCTTCCGAATTTGAGACCAGGGCAGCCCCATGTAGAGAGCATTACAGTAGTCTAATCTCGAGGTGATCATTGCGTGGATTACTGCTGCCAAGTCGCTATGTTCAAGGATGGGAACCAACTGCCTAATCAGCAGAAGATGGTAAAAGGCTGACTTGGCAGTGGCTGCTACCTGGACCTCCATCGTTTAAAACCTAGCACACAAAATTTGGCACATTTATGGCATTTAAAAGTATGAATTCTTTGTCTTCTATAAGAATTGCAAGCATGCCCAGTATCTGGGAAAGTGTTGCAAACTGCTGCACCCAGTGCTACTATCACACATATATCTTTAATTTTTGCCAGGAGGAAAAAATAGAAGCTGAAGGTAGAAAATTAATTTTGCAGTAAACAAAAGGAAGCATATTATCTGGGCAGAAACTTTATCATAGAGTCACATCATGAAAGATAATACATTACTATTCTTTATTTAATATTGTATTATTGTTAAACACATGGCGTACTAATTGTTGCCAAAATCATTTACATGCAAACAGAAAAAAATCCTGGAAATTGTGTATTTCACCAGTATGACATTTTTTTTTCATTGCTCTCCCCAATATCCCAGTTGTTAGTTTCCAGTCGAAAAAATGAGTAAGTCCTCATGCTTGTTCATGCTACACATTTTGAGTGTGAAAAACCTCACCTTAAGGATAATTTTACTCTTTCTAAAAGAGAAAATATTTAATATGAGGTTTTCTTCTCCCCCCTTCTCATTTAAGAATTCCTTAGGAAACCCCAGTTTTCCCCCAGGCCTTCACTTCTTTAAACAGGACGGTGACAAGGCAAAAGGATTCACTGGTGGGACTTGACCCACCCATCTTTAAAGTGGGCTGCTACAGTACAAAGCAGTGATGGCCTCTCCTCCCCTGGGTGGGTGTTGGCCTGCTAATCAGGGAGCTGTTTGGCAGGGATAACAGCCAGCTTAAAGGAGGTGCTGTGCAAGGAGAAAGTTGCCAGCCTCATATGTAAAGTCAGGTTATCAGGCAAGAGCTCTGCCCGGAGAGACCAAGGTACCAGCGACAACTTAACAGCTCCTTTCCCCAGCCTCCGTGCAAAAGTGCCACGAAAGCGCCACGCTGACAGCTTCTTGCCTCTCTTGTCTGCATTGTGTCGCCAAAGGCCTGGAGCGGCTTCACAGCGAAACACCCCCCCCCCCATCCCTCCTCCTTTGAATGCCGCCGCTGCTAGATTTCCGCGGCCGACAGTAGTCTACACTCGTCAGCTCTTTCTCCCCGGCTGTCATTAGGGGCCGAGTGGAGAAGGTGGTCGGAGGCATCCAGATGGGGACAGAGTCGTGGCAGGGAGGCACTCAGCCTACGCTCAGGAGACCTCTCTCCTCCTCAGCACTGATGCCGAGGGCACGCGCTGTATTTTACGCCCAGAGAGCGCTCCTGCTTACCTTGAGCGGCGGCTGCAGCCCCCTTTTGCAGAGGCGACTTCATGGTAACGACAAGGGTGGCGGCAGAGCCCAGCGGTCTTCCCGGTTGGCTCTGTTCAAACGGGCCAATGGGAGGAGAGGCGTCGGGCTACGACTCGTGAGCAAGGATTGGCTGCGAAAAGAGGGAGGGCGCGGCTACGAACTCCTGGCGGAAGGGCGGGGTGGAATCCAGGCAGGGCAGGCTTATAAAAACTGCCGAGAACAGGACCAGTGTGCAGGATCAAATTAGAGAATCACGAAACCCACGCAAATGTGCAAGGAAGGGCAGGAAGTTAGCGTTGCTATACAGCTGTGCTGCTAGGGCATCGGGGACAATTACCCCCCATTCCCCTCCTTCAATCTAGTGGCACAAAACTAAAAAAAGTTCTCCAGGGCTTCTGCCAGAGGGCTCTTTCCCCATACAAATTGCAGCCCTGTGCAAAGCTGTGGTGAACACACACAGACAGACACACATGTTGCCAAGGATCACAGCTTGCAATGCCAGTGTCAGTGGCCTGTATTCTGTACACTCAACATGTTCTCCCATGTTATGAATTCGTGGGACTGTTCCCCATTTTTCACAGAGGCTGATCACACAGCAGAGAATCCCCTAGTGCTGCGCAGTATGGGAAAAGGGGCTTCGCAGCTACTTGTCAGTTTTTTAAAAAACCTCTTGTCAATTTCTTTTTTTTCTCTCTCGAAAGAGAAAGGCTGCTTCATTAAAGTGGCGCGATTTATTTTACACACAATTCAAAGCAAAACACCTGGTTAGAGAGAGTGTCCTGAGATCATCACAGAAAACAGCTGAGTGCCTCGAAGGCAAAGCGTGATCCTTGGAGGAAAAGCTGCCGGTGAGAGACCAGCTTGCCCTTGGTGGAGGGGCAGCAGCCCGGCGACTGGCGAAGACCTTCCAGTCTCTCCAACGCGCTCTTGGTATCCCGAGTGCGCTTAGCCAGGTCCGGCACGCAGGCTTCAGCTCCTGCATTTCGCAGCGGGCTATCAGCGTGTACCCGTGTCCTCCAGGGCCTCGCCTAAGCCTTCCACGCCGTCCCTGTAGTCGGTCTGCCAGCAAGCGGCCGTGCGTGCCCACTGGGTGTCGAACAATGTAATATTTTCAGTTCCAGGTTTAAATCGTTAATATCTGAGTACACCTCAGTGGCAGCTGTCAAGCCCCCAAATTCTTATCAATAAACTGTCCCCTCAGCAACTAATCCCAGGCAGCAAGACTTGGTTTTCTGTTCCTAAACATTTTGGCTTCTAACCAGCCTAATTCTATGCAATCAGGTACTCCTAGTCCCATTGAAACCAATTGGCTCTGGTATATGGGATCCATTCCTGAGGACTGACAGATCATAGTGAATCTCAATAAGGCCGTGGAATGCATATAATCTATAGGGGGGGGGGCGGCATGCCTCGCGACAGCTCGCCCATCTGCGCCGCTACTTTCCCCCCAACTGCAAGAGCCGCCAACCCAGCCCTGCAGCAACCCCTGCGAGTCGATGGCCGGGATCAGACAGCAGCCAGACGGGGGGAACCGAGCAGTATCTGTCGCCGCCGCCGCTGCTTGTCCGGGCGACCACGAGACCCGGGCGACCACTGGCTGCTCCTCAGCGAAGCTCGGGCCCTCCAGCCCCCGCGGGACCCCCGTTACGGCCGCAGCCGCAGTCAAGATCGCGTGATCAGTTTACAGCAATAGGGACTGGCGGGAGGCCGTTGGGGTTCGGATCTGGGCTGTCACTCCGGAGTACTTACTCGAAGGCAATGTCGATTCCCAGTCCCCGCACCCCCCCCCCCAAGAACGCCAGCAATTTTTTGTTTGTTGTTATTAATAACTGTTATCCGAAGCTTAAAGAAATGATTTCTACCATACAGTGGAGAAGTAACAAAATAATGCAGATTGACCGACTGGAGCAGCAGCAGCCTGCAAAGGCCTGCTGGCCTGCTCCCCAGAGGGCCGAGGGACTTGCGGAGGGGGAGCCTTGAAAAGGAGCTGGAAGGAAGGAGTGCAGTGAGACGGCATTTGGGAAAATGACGTTTCTCGGGAGAGGTGGAATTTGACCGTAGAAGCTCAAGGCCGCCACCCCGGGGCCCAGGGAGCCGGGGAAACGTTTCGCGCCCTCCTCGCCCGGCCATTGCTGCTGCCGCCAGGGGGGGCAGCGGCCATAACTTTTAAAAGAGCCCCTGAGGAGAGCTGGGGGAGCTAAAATGACCTCTCCCGTGTGATGTTCGAGCGGCAACGTTGTGAGCGAGTGATTTGGATACTGCATAAATTAGCTTGCTCTGGAGCCATCCTTCATGAGCTAAGACAAAAATCTGTGAGCTGGAGGCTAAAAATATGTGATTATGGAGAAAGCAAGAGAGTACCAGAAAAACATCTACTTCTGCTTCATTGACTATGCTAAAACCTTTGACTGTGTGGATCACAACAAACTATGGCAGGTCCTTAAAGAGATGGGAGTACCAGACCACCTCACATGTCTCTTGAGAAACCTGTATAAGGGTCAAGAAGCAACAGTTAGAACCAGATATGGAACAACTGATTGGTTTAGCATAGAAAAAGGAGTACGACAAAGATGTACATTGTCACCTTGCTTATTTAATATGTATGCAGAGTACATCATGCAAAATGCTGGTCTGGATGAATCACAAGTGGGAATTAAGATTGCTGGGGAAAAGATCAACAACCTCAGATATGCAGACAATACCACTCTACTGGCAGAAAGTGAAGCGGACCTTAAGAGCCTCTTGCTCAGGGTAAAAGAGGAGAGCGCAAAAGTGGGCTTGAAGCTCAACATAAAAAAAACTAAGATCATGGCATCCTGCCCCATCACTCCTTGGCAAATAGAAGGGGGAGTTGTGGAAGTAGTGACAGACTTCACGTTCCTGGGATCCAAGATCGCTGCAAATGGTGACTGCAACCATGAAATTAAAAGACACCTGCTCCTTGGGAGGAAAGCGATGGCGAACCTCAACAGCATGATAAAAAGTAGAGACATCACCCTGCCAACAAAAGTCCGCATGGTCAAAGCAATGGTATTCCCAGTAGTCATGTATGGCTGCGAGAGTTGGACTATAAGGAAGGCCGAGCGCCGAAGAATAGATTCTTTTGAACTATGGTGCTGGAGAAGACTCTTGAGAGTCCCTTGGACTGCAAGAAGATCAAATCAGTCCATCCTAAAAGAAATCAACCCTGACTGTTCCCTGGAAGGCCAGGTAATGAAACTGAAGCTCAAATACTTTGGCCACCAAATGAGAAGGGAGCACTCACCGGAGAAGACCCTGATGCTGGGAAAGACTGAAGGTCAAAGAAGACGGGGACGGCAAAGGATGAGATGGTTAGACAGTGTCATAGATGCAACGAACATGAAATTGAGCAAATTTCAGAGGACGGCAGAAGACAGGAAGGCCTGGCGGGATCTGGTCCATGGGGTCGCGAGGAGTCAGACCCGACTGTGCGACTGAACAACAACAAAGCTCACACTAACTCAGCTTAGAGGTAACACTGCTCCTGGGGTTAGTATTGATGTGTCCAGGCTACAGAGGTCAGTTCCCCTGAGGGTGGCCTGGTCCTCCCAGCAACCACTGGGGGACAGGGGATGGAATTGCCAGCTCCAGGTTGGGAAAGTCTTGGAGATTTGGGGACGGGCAGGGGCCTCAGTGGGGTGCAATGCCATAGAGTCCGCCTCTCTCCCAAAGCATCCATTTTCTGCAAGGGAAACTGATCTCTGTCGCTTGGGGATGAGCTGTCATTCTGGCCAATCCCCAGGTCCCACCTGGGGGTTGGCATCCCTTGTTCTCCTGCAGAAAACAGCCATTTTAGAAGGTGGGCTCTATGGCATTATGCCCTGCTCAGGTCCCTTGCTTCCCCAGACATTGCCCTCTCCAGGCTCAACCCCTAAACCTCCAGGAATTTTCAAGCTTGGACTTGGCAACCATAGTGCCAAGCGGTCTAACAGGCAGAAAGGGGCAGTTGAAGTTTTTCTTGGCCTGGAGCTCAATAACACCCCCTCATAAATGCTGCAGCTCAGGGGACATATTTGGAGGGTCGTTTTTAATCCTGACCACCCCAGTCCTCTGGCCCCCGTTCCTGTGCTTATTATTTTTTTTTAACCATAATATTTTATTAGGTTTTAACATAAAACATATCAAATACATACAGGTTGTCAAGAGTCAGTATAGCAATTAAAACCTGAATAAGTCAAGCAGTGTACAAGTTCCCAGCATCTCTAAACATACGTTAGTAGAAATGAGGTAACTTAATAATAACAATGAATATTTTGCTTTGCTTATAGATTGCCAATCAAAAGTTTCAACGGTTAACTTATCAACAATTGGATACCATTTACCGGTTTGGTTCAGCCGTTCAC